AATCAAAAGAGGCCAATGCCGAATAATGCTAAACGCTTACCCCTTATGCAATAGTTGACAGTCCACCTGATCAGGGGCTATCTGCATAGTGGGGCAAAGAATCGGCATCTTAACTGACTAATCACGTCAAGCAAGTGTTCGCAGTAACCATCCGGGTCAACCGACCGACTGAACTACTTGGGATAAGAACAGTTGGTATTTTATGAGTTAATAGCCAACAAACATTGGCGAATAAAGGGGAACAACCGGTACCCACCGCTTGATACCTCTAATACTCAGTTACTTGGCGACTAGGTAACAATCATGTTTACTTGGTCACTCCTTAAAAATTTAGTATGAAACTAAAAAGGTGTTCATACAGCACCTGTTCACACTAGATTAAATATGGCGGGGAACAGTCGGCCTAGACGGCCTAAAGTCTCTAGCCTAAAAACATGACAAGTAGGAAACCACTTTCCTACTTGGTTAATTTTACAAATGACAGGACCGCCTGCCTAAAGGGGATCCAGTCTTTAAAATGGTTCGAATACCGATTGGATAAATGGCCGACTGATCGTCTAGCCTGGAAATAGACAACCAGTCGTCCAGGGGCATAGGCGGCGTGACTAACTATCCGTACCTGTCTGCAACTATCGGCCATGTAAAACAGTCGGTATAGTGTACAATTGGATATCAGAATATTCAATACTTAAACAAATTTGAAGCAAAATAAAAATATTCATTAAAAGGAAGCCGGTCATTAAAGACCGGCAAAATATTCAGAGCCCCGGCCCCCTGGCCGGGTAAATACAAACAAACGGCACGCAGGCCGTGGAAAGAAGACATAAAGCTTAAGAAGGGGGCAGATCTTCAATATTAGCAGCTGCCGCCTGGTCAGCACTCTTCTTGCTGGACTCGGCTTCAGCTGCATCCTTCTTTGATGCATTACCCCCAAGCGGCACAAGCGCCACTACCGGCTGCTCCTCCTCCTCCAACGCCTCTTCCTCAGCAGCCGCCAGGATCTCTTGATTATATCTATCAGAACACTGGCGGTACGTTTTTTCCCATGAGGCAAAGTCGGCATTGGGGAAGAGGCGGCCCCAAGTCATGCGCTGGATTTGAGCAGAGTCTTCCATCATCTCCCGGACCAGCTCTTTCTTTTCTTGCTCGGCCTTTTCCGAGAGCTCCTGAGTAAGACTCTTCTCCTGGGTCACCAGGCGTTCCTTTACGCTCGCCAAGGATTTCTCCAAGGTTTCGTATGAGGAAATCTTTTGGCGAAGAGGTCTCAGCTCGGCCTTGAGGTTGTTGATGGTCGCCTCCAGCTCGCTATTCCTCTTCTGGGCCGCCTCTAACTGAGCCCGGATAGCGGCGGTAGCCTGCGCCTGATAATAAAGAATATCAATGGTCAGAACTTCATTTTGGGCAATTTGAAACATTGCCTTATCACAGTCAGAGGCGGCCATAGCTTTTGCAGCCTTTACCTCTTTGTTCTTCCGGTCAAGCGGCTTGCGAAGGCCGTTCACTCGGAGCAGGGCCTAAGTAAAAAGGGGAACAGACGTCAGTTTCCAAACAAAAAAGAAAACAGGCGTCCTGGAATTCAAATACTCAAAAATATGCTAAGTATACCTCAACAAGGACCCCTGCAATCCCGTCTAGGTCAAGGGTGCCGACACCCCTGACCGCCTCCCTTTCAGCTGGAGGAACGACCTTGATTATAGACTTGGCCACCTCGACCAAGTCAGGCTCCTGAGGGCCGGCTGCATCAAGCATAAACAAACGGATTAGACCTAGTAAAGAAGGGAGCAAGTCTAAAATTTACAAGGATAATTTCATACTTCTAGGCGGCCCAGCTGGAGTTTTAGAAGAAGTGGCCGGCTGTTTCTCAGCCGCCGCATGTTTCCTGGCAGAACCAGGAGAGCTCGCAACAGTCGTCCTCCGGGCCTTGGGGTCCGGCTGTTGGGAAGAAGAAGCTCTTGGAGCGCCCGTCTAAAAAAGAAGAAAAGAGTCAGTATATGCATAAACACAACTCCAAAAAGAGGGTGAAAGGTTCGAAGCCCACCAAGGGTGCCCCCTTGTTGGGGGAGTCGGTTGAAGACTGTTGCATGATGGAGGCCCGCAACATGGCCGCCGCAGTCTTGGAGGCGGTAATTTTGCTCATGGCGTCCGCTGCAAAAACAAATAGCAAAGTTAATAAAAGTCATAACAAGAAATGCACGGAACAACAGAGTATTCGACAGGCCGGCTACCTCTTGAGCACCGACTGCTGAGGCCACAGGCGGCCAAAAAGTACTCGTCGTAGAGCCATTTGAAGCTCGGGACGCAGTGCAGGGGTACTTGCTCTCGTACCCCTGAAGTAGAGTTCACCTTCGACTCTACTTTGAAGAGTCCTTTATCTAGGATCTCTTTCTTAGCCTTGGGGGGAACAGGCGGCATGCTGCGGCCGCCTGCAAGAAGGGGCGAATTCCTGTTCCACCTGTTGAAGCGCTTGTTCAGCTCTGTGTCTGAACTCTCAATGATAAGGAAGGTGCTCCGCCAGTCCTTCCACTTGTTTGCTTTACCTCTTGTCATGAGGTAGCCCTTGTGGCTCGTCAATTGATACCAGCCGGTACCGCCTGCCTTAGGGGTCCGGCTGAGGTAGTTCATGTGGGCGAAAGCCTCGAAGTTCGGCTCCACCCCGTGCAGTTCGCACCCGGCCACATAGCCGAGTACGTTGACCCAGGAGTTCGGGGCTAACTGCCATAACCCCAACTCATACCCATCCAAGATCCGCTGAACAGCCGGATGTAGTGGGAAGCGCAGCCCAGCCTTGATGACCGCCTCGTAGCAGCCAAAGCAGGCGCCATCATAACTGGTACCAGCCGGCCAGACGACTGTGTCTTCTGGATCCGGCACGAACACTAAAAAGTCGGGGCCCATTGTGTGGTTTTCGATAAAGCTCCCCACTTTCTCTTGCATGGCCGTGATCCGGCCCCGAGGTACCGTGCAGTAGTAGGGGGTATTTTGCTCTCGGTGAGAGGCGGATGGCTCCGCCCAATCGTCCCCCTTCTCAACTGCGTGAGAAAGCCTCGCCTCTTGTAAGCGACTGTTTTTCTCTTCTGTGTCCAGAGAAGCATGGCCAGAAGAGCTAGACTCGGATTCGTCCTCTGACGAGTCCGAAGAGGACGACTCCTCCCCTCTCCCGGAGGGGCCCGCCTCTTCTCCTTTAAAAGGAGCAGGAGAGAATGTAGAATTGTCAACTGTAAAATGGGAAGGGGTCACTTTGACTCCTCCCTCAGAACTGCCGGCTTTCAAGCCGCTTTGTTTCACTTCCACATCTGGCGCCTGGTCAGATGTTTCACTAATCGGCACCCTGTGGGAGGATCCGTCTGAGTTTGAGATCCTGGCAGTCTTTTTTGTTCTGGCCATCATGCTCTGCATAGACACAGATACAGTCGGACTTTGTATAAAGGGCAAAGATGGGTCCAGAAAAGGGCAGGCGGCACTCCTAGTCCTAGATTCAGCCGTCCCCGGTGACCGGCTGATCACTAACCTAGGTCGTGTCGTGTGCTTCCGTGGTGCCATTTCAAAAAAGAATAAAGTAAAGAGAAAATTAAGAGTAAGAGAACCGACGGTTACCTGAACGAGTGACGATTGATGAAGTTCTGAAAATCCTTTGCAGTCGGCTTGTCAGAGCAGGCGGTAGGCAGAAAGGGTCCAAAATGTCAGAGCAAGTTCAGGGGTCCGAATGTTCTCTCACAAAGTTCTCAAGTGTGAAAATGACCGAAGTCAACACTCCCTTATATAGGCGAAGTGAGAAGGCGAAGGGTCACTTCCGGAATTCAAAATTTGGGCGGGAGAATCTCTCGGCCTTTCGCCGAGTGACACCTGTAGCAGGCCGTCGCCTGTTACAGGGCGACACCTGTCACAGGTAACACGTGACCAGTCACGTGCCACCTGTGAGGGGCAAATGATTAGGGGATTTTGCTCCCACCAATCGGAATGCGCCACATGGGCCAATCAGGTCCTGCCAAGTGTCCCCCAGTTGGACCTCTCAGGGCTTGCCACGTGGCACACGCTTATTCGTCCACCCTGGACCTATTATGTCATGACACGTGGCATACTACATGCCTAATGGAGAAGTCGGCCACCTAGGCCCAACTTCCGAGGGAAGCCCAATCAGCCCAAGGTTAACCTAAACCTAGATTGGCGCGTTTCCCGAGGTTATAAATACCTCCCTTAATCCTCATTAAGAGAAAAAAACGCAGATTACACACATTAAACACTCTCACCTAGAGAGACCCAATCACTTTAATTTCCGCATTAATTACTCCTTAATCAAGTACTAACTTGACCGTCGGAGGCGGATCTCCAATCATCCGGAGCATCCGTTTGTTTTGCAGGTACAGGCGGCCGGTTCCAGTCTCGGAATTGTAACTCTCCCGCAGGACATCAAAAAACCCCGAAACAATATATATTTTTTTTATTGGAAATTAGCTTAACCCTTACAATTGGTCTTGTATGGACCCGGTCTACAATAAATTATTGTAGACCCAAAATTTGACACTTTCAAATAATATAATCACATTCTGGATGATATAATCACTTTTTTAGATGATACAATTATCTTTTTGTGAGTCATATTTTGAATTATATAATCTCATATTAAACTATTTAATGAGATTATATAATTATCTTTAGGATGATAAAATTTAAAAATCATGTTTTAAAATGATGTAATTTACTATTTGATACTTTTTATAACGATAAATTCACTTTTTGAGTTATACATTTACATAACAGCTTCAAAATGATATAATCACCTTTGTAGTAATATAATCAGATCTTGTATGATATAATCACATTCGTATGGTATACAGGAAGGTTGAGTCTACAATAAGTTATTGTAGACCGGGTCTGTTCTAGTATTTGCCTTATGCGATAAATTAACTAGAAGGTAAATTAGCTTTGCAATCCTCCGTAACATGACAACTTGGCATTGGAATTGCTCCAAGTTAAAACTATGCAAAACTGGATTTGAATTTAGGAAGACTGACTAATACGGAGTACAAGAAAGTGAGAAACTATCTCGAAAGTCGAAACCCAATAAAAAAAGTTCACTGATCACACGTCCTGACTGCATAAAATTCGAATTTCCTCCATTTTCTTTGTCTTTCCACCTTCATTTACACCTGTATTTTTCCCCCAAAATCCTCCCTCTCTCTCCTCCGTCTTTTCTTCTCAATTTTTCCTCTAAACCCTAACAATTTCAAAGTAAGTTGTTCATCCAATTTAAATTGCAATGTCTACTGTATAATATTTGTGTTTGAATGTGGTATTATGCATATTTTAGCTAAATTGATAATCGAACTCTGATTATGCTTTACCAGTTTAAATCGAAACTTTGTTATTGTTATTCAATTATTCATTGTTTCTTTACTTTTTTTTCAATGCTAGTTATTTTGAATTTACTTACGTTAATTATTTTATTATTAATTTTATTTAATTTTTTCGTAGGGCAGCTCAAATTTTTTTTCAAATTATAAGTTACTGGATAAACCTAAGAATTATTATTAAATTGTGTGATGTTTTTAGGATTATGAGGAATTTGTTAGAAAAATAAGGTGGTTTTGAACATTGCTCTATTATTGAATGTTAATGTGAAATTATATTTGTTATGACTACTGTGTAAAATTTTGTGAATGTCGGATCATATATGTTTTAGGGGAACTGCTCTCTTCTTTCAATTATTTGTTGAAACTCGGAATTCGAAACCTTGTGTTATAATGGTCAATTTTGCATTGTAATTCATATATCTTTGCTGAATGCCATTTATTACGTTCATTTTGACTTTCTTACATGTGTTCATTTAATGTCTTTGATAATGTGGAGTAATAAAGTTTGCTTGGGGGCGATAAATTTCTCAGCTAATTTTAAATCATATGTACTGATGGAGGACAAACCTAATGGAATGGAAGATGATAATGAGAAAGTGGACGAGGATGTAGATGAGGATGTGGACGAGAAAGTGAACGAGGATGTAGATGAGAAAGTGGACGAGGATGTAGATGAGGATGCCGGGGTTTATGAGAAATCTTCTTCGGGGGAATTCAGTGAGGAGGATGGTGAAGTGGCATTGGAAGGAAGTGGATCACAACCTGAGGTTACCCTAACTTCACTATAAAGATTTGATGAGATGCTGACTATATTTATTATCTCTCATTATAGTATCGATGATCTTTTGCAGGGCCCTCTGACAGAAGCCGATATACAAGATTTGATTGATGAATTACTTGAAGTAGAGAGTAAGGTATCAACTGTATCGATAATGCTAGTGTCCTCAGAGATTTGATTTAACTACTGGCCACCTTAATCGTATATCCTATGATTTTGTGATTCCCATTATTAGGCAGCAGAGGCACAAGAAGCGCTTGAAGAAGAGTCTTTGTTGAATGTTGAGAAGGATGTTAGAGAAGAGTTGGCTGTAAATCTAAAAGGCAAAGATGTCAGTAACTTGCTGTTGTCTTAAAGGTTTTATTACCTATCTTTCACTCGTTAAATGTCTTATTATAGTCCTTTTTTGATATGGTAGTTAGACAAGGCTGTGGCAGAGGAAATGGCAGCATTAAGAGAACAGTGGGAGGAAACGCTTGACGAGCTTGAGACAGAGAGTGCTCACTTACTGGTTTGCACCTATCTTCTTTGCAAGTAAACTAATAGTCTGCGCACATTTAAATTTTTTAAGCTTTAATTGTCTAAGTTATTAATAGATGCTGTAGTTAATTTTGCAAAATTATGGGATTGATTTTTTGATGAATTTGTTGCTACATAAAAGATTTTGAATAATCATTGACTTACTGTATACTTGGCTACTTGCATAACCATATCTAATTTTTAATTTTTTATTTTTTTATAATGATGTAGTATTTCATTGTAATACAAGCAACGTAACGTAATTTACTTATACTCCCCATGAACCACGACCCAAATTGTGTTAAGGTCGTGTAACTCGTTTTATGGTCATGTAACTCGTGTTACATGGTACACTTTTAGATTAATTTGTCAAAATAGGAAGTGAATTGTGCTCTTGTACCCACCCGTGTACCAAAGCGTACCACAACTTAGGTAACACTAGGCAAAGAAAATTTGTTTGCTAGTGACCTGTTTAATGTTATTATTATAGCTTTGTGTTAATGATTATTACCTTAAAAATATCGGTTAAGGTTTCATGATGTCAATAATTTACAAAAGGAAAACATGCTTTCCTCTCTATTCTGTAGATTTGAAATGATGCTGTTGCATTTTGTATTCACCAGACTGCTTTTCGTCATTGGTTTTTTCTATAGGAGCAACTGGATGGTGCTGATATTGATCTACCAAGATTCTATAAATGGATTGAGAGCAATGCTCCAAATTGTTGTCGTACTGAAGCTTGGAAGAAAAGGACTCATTGGGTTGGAACTGAGGTTGGCAGTGATGCTGTAGAATCCATTAAGGATGCCGAAAAGCATCTTCAAACCCTTAGGCCCGTAAAGAGGTATATGCATGTCTATGTCATTCTGAATTCTTACATATCAAGGATGACAATTTTTTCTTGGTAAGTAGCTGATCTATTAATGAATCTCAGTCGACATGGTAAAACTCTGGAGGAGGGTGCTAGTGGATTTCTTGCCAAAAAAATGTGTGCTAATAGTGTTGGTGAGAGTTCGACTGAAAACCCTGGAGTGGAATGGAGCTCTTTTAACAAATTATGCTCAAAAGAACCATCCAAGGAGGATACGGCCTTTGGTAGCAAGCAGTGGGCTTCAGTATACTTTGCAAGTACTCCTCAGCAAGCTGTAGCTATGGGGCTTACATTTTCTGGGGTGGATGAGGTATTTTTTTTTCTACGAATCCCTCATTTCTTATCAACTATAGATTGCTCTACAACTTCAATTATTCAGAATAATATATCTAATGGACTATTCCATCAATTCCTAATGTTTCAAATCTCTTATCTTCCAATTTTCTTTTGTTTTCTCACCTATTCACTATCTAGACTTGAATACCAGTTATTGAATGATTTTTCTTTCCTTAACTCAACATAAATAGGCCATCTATTAGAGCTCTAAGTTTTTGGTGACCTCTTTTTTGTGTTGCATTGTTGATGGCCTGATTGCAATAATTGACATCTCTTATGGAATATAAGGCGAGTATAATATTTTTTTTTTTTTGACATGTATTGAACTGTTAGGCTCTCGAGGAGTGAAAATATGTTCATTAAAAAATTAAATGATAAGAATTCACTGTATATTGGTTGGGGAAAGGGAAGATTAAGTCCCTTTCCTTGGTGAACTTATATGATTGATGGTTATTGGCTTGAAAAGAGCCTGTATTTCATCTGTATTTTCTTTGCTTGGCATTCTACCAGCTTCTGATATATCTGGCTCTGTTAGGTTGAGGAAATTGATGACATTGATGATGATCCAAATGATCCATTTGAAGCTGATGCCGTAGCAAATGAAAAGGAGCTGTATCTCTCACAGGAGCAAAGGAAAAACTACAAAAAGGTTGGCTCAGCTTTTTATATTGCTGTATTTTGCAGCCGATTTAATTATTAGCATACCATATGTCATATAATCTTACAGAGGAAGGTCCGTATTGTTCGCTTTGCTTAAGTTTTGCTGTGCGTAATTACTTAGACTAGTATGGTTATGAAATGTAAGAAGGATATTTTAATCTAATGATGTTTGTGCTTGTGTAAAAAAAATGAAGTTATCATTAGTTCAAGTGTGCAAGCAGAGAAACCAAATTATATTTATTTTGTTTGAAATGATCACAATGGTTTTTACTACAAGGATGTTTTAGGGGGATGACAAGGACTGAAAAGAATCAAGAAACGGCAAATTGAGTAGTGTAATAGTGTTAGTAAAATAAATACGAAGAATATTAAGCAAATACTGTAATTTAGGGATATATGGTGTATTATTTTTGATGTTATGGTATTACCTGTGGTTGGCAGATCAAAGAGGAAGATGATTTGAGTTATGATCAAAAGCATCAGCTTCATTTGAAGCAAAGGAGAAACAGAAAAAGGAAACAGGTGAAGTTGGCTTGCTTCCTTTTTAGAAGTTTGAATACCAGTTTTGTGGTTTGTGTCTGTAAATTGTGTAGGAAAGCTTCACTCTTTTTTTTTTTTTTTTTTTTTTTTTTTTTTTTTTTTTTGAGGTAAATGTCTGTCTTACTTTTGAATTGTTGAGTAAACTGTGGCCTTTTCTGCTAGTCTACTTTTAGTGAGTAAATTGTAGATTATGCTGTTTGTGTGTTATTATGAATTTATTAGTATCCATATTCTTCTAAAAAAACTAATATCATGGTTCATCAGCTATTAGATTCTTTGATGTGACCTGTGGTCTTAATATTTGATTGATAGCTCTTCCTGATGGGTATATTCCGGCAACCCTGGTATAGCTGCTTGCTTTCGTTCCAATAGTGGAGTTTCAAACTTAACCTGCATTTGGGAGCCTGTAGTGCTTGTCTAATACTGTTTTGTCTAGCTGATTTTATTTTTTTAATTTCTTTTTGTAGAACTCCAGCCTTGCTGAAGGCTTATTGAGTGATAATGAGGAGGTCATCTGCCAAGATCGGAAAGCTGCAAAGCTCGATAATTGTGGACTTTCGGCAGATGCTGTAGAGGAAGAAAAAACTTCTATCAGTGATTCTCCTGAGCTTTCAATGGCTAAGTCAGTTGAACCTTCTTGTGGCTCCAAGCGTTCATGTGATGATGAGGCTCTAGACCATGAAGCTAAGAGAAGTCGGACTGGTGTTCTGGAGAGTGATAATGAAGCTCAATTTATTGGTTGCCATGAGGCATTAGAAGATCCCGTTGCTCAAGAAATTGCTGATGAGTTTGGAAAAGTTTGCTGCACTGCCTGTGGTAATGTTACAAAGGAGATCCATGAACATCCTCTTCTGAAAGTAATTGTCTGTGGGAATTGCAAATCTGTCATTGAGGCGAAAACGAAGGTAGGTCCTAGATCTGAATTGCTTTCTTTTTCTTCTTCTTTTTTATTCTTTTTTCGTATGGGAATCCAAGCTGGGCCAGTTGAGTATTTTTTAAAGTTTATTTCATGTATGTGGCCTTATATACGGGTTCATGTGTCCACAGTCCATTATAAAACTTTTTCCGAACCTTTTTTTTGTATCAATGGCTTTTTAAAGACTTTAGATGATAGGTGTTCCTGTTGTCTAGGCAAGAGTCAAGAGTCAAAGGTGTGCCTAGGTAAAGTGAGGTGCACATCTTCATAATTAAAATTATAGTCATTCATTCATTCAATTATATAAAGTTACATTCAAAATTGTTGTATACTCTGTATGTGACTAAGTACTATTGAACTTGTGCACTAACACACCATGACATCATATTGTACAAACACCGCAATAAGATTTATGGTTTAATCTTATGAGAGGTAACATTGCTTAACTTAGAACCCAGGGGCTTGTCTGAGGCAGTGAGGCATCTTTAAGCTTTAGGCCACCTCATCTGGGCCATTGTAGAGCCATGTGGGCAAGCTGTCTGGCCTGTCTCTGCTCCTTAAGCCTGCAGCGTGTACTTTTATGTGTTGTTCTAAATTTAAGGAGAAATGCCTGCCTATTATTTAGCTTTCTTAATGAATTTAGTCTTAAAACTTAATCACTGCCCTTCACAGTTTCTTATTCTCTTAATTCCTCAGATATTTTTAGCCCTTTTTTCTTTTTGGTGGATGAAGGATATGGGAGGCTCTTTCTAACGCTTGATAGCTCTTTATATTGGTAGGATCTCCAGTGCTCGGAGCGCTATTGTGTATGGTGTGGAAGAAGTAATGACTTACTGAGCTGTACATCATGTAAACTTTTATTTTGTTTATCATGTATAAAGAGGAATATCAGAGTAGAATGCTTTCCAGAAGGTACATGGAAATGCTGTTCCTGTTCTCCAGAGCTCCTGCAGCAATTAACTTTGGAACTTGAGAAAGCTGTTGGCTCAAAAGAATCAACAGGTTCTAGCTCTGATAGTGATACAGATAATTCAGATGATGAGATTGACGACTCTATCAGGTATTCAGAGCTGTTACTCTGTTAGTGAGTTTTTGAACATATTTTGACAACCGGAAATTTACGTAATTTCATTGGTTCGTTTAATTAGCTTCTGTTCTCCGTAGCTTATTTAAATAAGTTTTAGCAAATAATTTTTTTTATTTTTTATTTTTAAAATATAGTAAGTTTTTAATTAAAAAAATTAATTCAGCAAAAATGAGTTAAAGTCAGTACAAAAATGAGCTGCAAAATTAAGTTATTTTCAGTAAATAGAAGGCGAGGACAACAGTGCCTTAATCTTCTTGTTGAATGCAAAATGAGTCTTTGTACTAGTTAATCATCTGTCCCAGCAACTACCAAAATTTTACTCTCAGCATATCAAAATAGTTTAGTTTTTGTGAAGCTTAATAAACTTTTTAGGTTTTGAAACTACTAAAGAATGTCTAATGTTGTGTACACATGGGTTCACGTCTTGGTTAATATGGGAGGGGAATTAACGCGTACATGCATATCAGGTTTAGGTGTTTTGAACTATCGGTACATCATTTTTAAGGTGCATCACATACTTTTTTGTTAAGTTGGCAATACTAAATTCCGAATCAAGTAAAAAAGATTATATGCCTATTTTGCAAAAATTACTAGTTATGATTTATGTAGTTTAAAAATATGCACTTTGAGGTTTAAGCAGAGGAATATTCTTCTTGTACTGCTGGGACACTATAGTGGCTTTGGTGCTGCAGAAGCAACATCTTGCAGGTGTTAATGTGTTGCGGCCATCACAATGAATTAACGATTCGAAAAAGATCCACTTAATGATCGTGGTTCAAGTGTTTTAATAAAAATTCCGCAGAATATAATAAATATGCTTTTACAACCTGATCATATTATATTTAGAATGTAATTACTTAATTTTTATAGTGATCATCATATGACTATAATTTATCTTATACGTGGATCCAACTGTATAATTATGCTTCAGGGTTTTAACAATGGTTTATAATGGCTAATATGGTATTTTAGCGGATGTTGTGGACTATTAATAATTATAAAACTCATAAAGAGATTTATTTAACGAAATGTCAAGTTCATATGCTGCTGCAGAACAACCCTTCTGTAATGGAAGTATGGAACAATGCTGTTTCAGAACAACTCCTTGTGTCAAATTCTATGGTGTTTCAGCATTTTTGTTTTCTATTCTAATAAATTTTTTACCTGGCAATCTCAATGCTGTTTTTGTTAATTGTTATTTTAAATGTTGTCTTTAATAAAGTTTTGTACTTTTATACCACTCAGCAAAAACAAGTCTGGGAAAAAGAAAATTCGAAGGATATTGGATGATACTGAGCTAGGAGAGGAGACAAAGAGAAAAATTGCTATGGAAAAGGTACTATTGGCATTGAATATGCACTTTGCATTCTATGTATAATTACTCGTATATGTTGAATAGATAAAAATCTGATTGTGGGAACTTAATTTGGTGCTACATTCTTTTTTATATGTGCCGGATGATTACAGGAACGTCAGGAACGGCTCAATTCTCTCAAAGCACAGTTCTCAGCCAGGCCCATGATGATGAATACTTCTACCTGTAATGATTTACCTGAAGGTGCTAGCTCTGAAGTTCTTGGTGATCCCTCAACTGGTTTTATAGTGAATGTTGTGAGGGAGGAAGGTGAGGGCGCTGTCAGGATTCCTCCAAGCATTTCTGCCAAGTTAAAAACTCACCAGGTATATACTTTATTTGTAGTTTTTTTAAAAAAAATTTTTAAATTTTTTTTTTAAATTATTGCCAAATTTTTATATTCCTAGTTGCTATTTTTTTGTTAGTCCTGCTCGTATAACTCCATTTTTGATATACCTAGTGCTGCATTAAAAAGAACCTTTGATAAGTGTTGCTATGAAGGCTAAATAAAAAATTGTAGGGAGTACCCATAGGGTTTGGTAGATACTGTCATTTGGTATCTCTACTTCGTATTGAAATGCATACAAGGTTGTTTAATGTATTTTTGGGCCGCTATCGTCACAGAAGTGGAGGTTTGTGCCTTTGTGTTGTGCCGTGGAGGAACGCTTGTCTTGAGGTTTGTGCCTTTGTGTTTTTCCATGGAGAAATGTTTACTAATTCCTATCACACTGTATCACATAAAAGTTTATGCACTGATGAGTGTTTAAACTAATGTTGGATGGAGGGAGGCTCCTATAAAAGCTCCAGTTTCAGTGTCTGAGACAGGTGTTGTTCCAATATGGGGAATAAGACCACTTGTCTGTAGAGGCTTTCTAGGTGCTCTTTTACATCCAAACTTGAGAGTAGAGAAAACAAAGGGCAGATGCCCCAAACTTGGGATTTATCTGTCGAGTTTTCCTTCATCAAATTAGTTTTTGGGTTGTTAGAAAATTGAGTTATCTAATTTGAGGTGCTTCTCGATTCTGATTAGGCTTACAGTTCGGTCGGTTTTGCAAGTTATAGTGTTAAGTGATGTGAGGGCTAGGGAGCTTAATTTGAGCTTGTCTGTAATAAAGCTTTAAAAATTTAGATTGCATTACTTTGTAACTTCTCTCCTTCCTACTTATCTACATGGTTATTTTTTCGAAGAATTGCGCTCATTGATCTCTGTTAGCTTGTCCTTTTCCATGTCACTGCTTATAGCATTGAAAGCTAGTCACAGTGTTGCCATTCTGAAACTTAGTTTTTTAATTGCATTATGCTTCTGTAGCATTAATATAAAGCTATTGTTGCAGGTTGCAGGGATTCGTTTTATGTGGGAAAACATCATTCAGTCTATCAGAAATGTGAAAGCTGGGGATAAAGGTCTTGGTTGCATCTTAGCTCATACCATGGGTCTCGGTAAAACGTTCCAGGTAGATTCCTTTTCTCAATTTTACTTCAATTCTTGAGGTGTTCTAGCTTGTAGTTTACTCATCACTTTTTTTTGGGCATTTATTCCTTTTCAAGTGCCTCAATGTTGGTTAATCAATGCCCAATTTAGTGAGTAATTGGCATAACCTGTCTCCATGCTGGTTTGGTCGCTTATTCTTGGACTTTCCTGTTCTCTCAGGTTATAGCCTTCTTATACACTGCTATGCGAAGTGTTGATTTAGGTCTAAAAACAGCATTGGTTGTCACACCAGTGAATGTGCTGCACAATTGGTGGCAGGAGTTTAAAAAGTGGGAGCCTGAAGAATTCAAGCCTCTTCGTGTTTACATGCTGGAAGATAAATCAAGGTTTTTCATTTACTAACTTTCAGTTGCAGTTGGAGTGTTATTTATATTTTTAATCTGCTGTTTATTATTTGCTAGCTGGAAGGTAATCTTAATTTCACCCAAAATGAGTAGTTTTTGACTGTGCACCTTTAATAATTTAAGTCAGTAATACTCCCTTTATTCTTATATATATATAAAAAAAAAGTACTCCCTTTGTATCAATTCACTTGCACCATTTCCCGTTTTGGAATTTCCCAGATTACTTGCTCCATTGTCTTTATCGATAATTTCATCTTTTAAATTGGATACCAAACTAACCCACCCACTTTCCTTACTACTTTTTCCTCTTTATAAAGCTTTATTAATAACCAATACGCAAGTAAATTGAAAATTTTCTTATTTTTTTTTTATTTTTTGTTTCTAACATAGTAACTTAAATTTGTAGCCAACAAGAATGTTTCATCATCAATTTTTTTTAGACTTTTATGGGAATAGACTTGTGATATTATAGAGATGCTGATACGAAGTGAATCACTTTAACATGTTATCAGCTGTGGATTTCATGCATTGCTTTGACAATAAGTGGGGGATCATAAAGATTGTCATGATTTCATGGATATATGGAGCTAAAAATGAGATTAAGAAAGTGGTTTGGCAAATGCTAGTAGCGAGTGATAAAAGCAAATAGAGGAAGAGGATCCATGTAGATGATCATAGGATTCTTGGTTCGTTTTATAGCAGCCCAAAATTTGTGCCTTTTTAAATAAATAAAAACTCACCTTTAGTTAAGATAACCACTCTTAACTAGGTGTTTATTTTCTTGAGGTAGTTGAGAGTAAGTGATTAATTTCCTTTGTGTGGATAAATTTCCACATTTGGAATTGGAAAGGTACACAAAAGAATGTGTGGATGCCTCTTTGAGTGTTACTATTGTAATAGTATTGATTTAGGTGTTTACTTTCGATGGCCACACTTTGATGATGGGCATAAGCTTAATCATTCTCTTTGTATTCCCTACTGATATTTTTGTACAAAATGGGAGAAGTGATAGCGTTTTTTTCTCGCTGTACTTGCATTTGGTGACATTTCTCCAATAAATCCTTTCCTCTGATCCCCACCATCATGACTTTTTTAAATTTTGTCCTTGATTTGCTTGTACTCATTTATGAGTTTCAAGCTACTTATGGCTTTTTATTTTTTATTTTTATATTAGAGGGAAGCCACTGATGGTTATGAGTTCTTAATTCTTTTTAATTTAATTTCCTAAACTTAATTTTTAGAAGAAATCCTTAGGGTATGATTATTAATTTTTCTGATATAATCCTGCATGAGATACATAGAAGATATCCTAGCTTATGGTTATTGTCTATTTTGTGGCATCAAAAACTATTATGTTAATCAACTTTTCAAAGGTTTCGATTGGACACACTGGCGAGGAAAGAGGGATGTTGGAAGATTTTAAGAGAAAGTATAGTGTCATAACGACTAATAGTAAGCTAGGCTCACGGTAAAGAATGATTCTCTAATCTCAATTACCTTCGAGAAAATGAATGTTGCTGTAATGAAGGGTGGTTTTCTAAATCAAAGAGTGGTTCACTTATTTTTGAAAAGGCTGGAAGTTCAAGGGTTTTACACATATAACCAACCCCATCCATATGGAAATAAGGGATTTGGTTATGTTGCTGTTTAAAGTACATATAATTGTAGAATTAGGAATTCATTACAATAGCAGAATGAAATCATAATAAATCAGCCAAGAAGAAATTTTAAATGCTTGTTCTGTCTTGAAAAGTTGTTAGATTTTCTCAGTGGCTTACGGTTAAGGGATACAACAAAATTTTACTTAGAGACAACATGATTTACTAAGATATCTTTTGTAGAAGTTTGTCCATTCCTTCAACCTTTCTGTTACAGCCAATATTGTACAGTTTACTGTTCTTTTTTGGAAAGAGGGACTTATATTAAGCAAATATATCAAAAACATTACTATATTTCATAGGCTGAGAAACTACAATGTCTTTAATTAAATAGTGGTGCTACATCATTTGCTTTGTTTAAAAGGTGAAGAAAAAGATGTTGTATTGCATCCATCTTTATTTATGTATATTCTATCTTAGGCCCTGTTTATTTCACCTTAAAAAAAAAGATATTCTGTATAAATAATTTCATTTCAGTTAATCAGTAAAAATATTTTCAGTTGAGCAAAAATGATTTCATTTGAGTATAAATAATTTCATTTTAGTAAAAATAAGTTCGATTCACTAAAAATAATTTCAGTTCAGTTAAAATAATTTAAGTTTAGCAAAAATAAGGTGAAGTGAACATGGCCTTAGTCAATTGAATTTCAAATGGAGGTTTTAATTGAACAATATTCTCTGTGATCATTTTGGTAACATAGTACACCCTTTCCCTTCTCTCCAAGCTCTTGGTGGGTGCCTGCCTCATTTGATGTAATGATGGTATCGTAGCACCATATGGTGAGGGTAACTAGAAAGTTATGGATGATTTACTTATGCCATTCTATCTTGAAACTTCGGCTAACATTTATGTTGAAAAAAAGCTGTGCTGTTTAGTAGTTTCGGCACAAAACCTGCTGGAAGTGAGCTCATTTTTCTGAACCTGTGTTTAGTTTGCTTTTATGAAATGTTTATGGGCTGCATCAAAGTTCGACGACTCTAAAGCTTTATATGACTGGAACAAGTCATAACCCCCAATACCCGCTTCCCTATAGCAAAAGGGGAAAAAAAAAAGAACAGTGGTTGAATAAAGTTATGCTGATTAACTAGTGGGAGTATGGGACACACTGCATTGTTCTTACTGCTTAAGAGATAAAAACTGACCTTGGTTCAATATTGATTATTTTATGCTCACTATGTCTTTTAATTATACAAGTTCTGATATGTGCAATGGTCAGGGAGCAACAAAGAGCTGAGTTACTAATGAAGTGGAGAAGAAAGGGTGGGGTATTCTTGATTGGCTATTCGTCATTTAGAAACCTATCCCTTGGAAAGAACATGAAAGATCGTCAGTCAGCCAAAGAAATATGCCACGCACTCCAGGTCACTGCCCCTTTTTCATTATCTCTTTCTGCAATAAGGGTTTTTTGTTTTTTTGTTGCTAGTATAAAAATTTGATATTTATGCTAACATCGTAATATCATATGATGTGACATTTTTTTTTCAACTAATAAGAGTATGCTCGCTATTGTTAAATTTAATCAGGTTTTAAACCTCTGGTGTCATCATTTGTGGCTCTATTAAGGCTAGGTATTCTTTGTAAGGTGTACAACAAAACAATGCAATCTAATTTTAAGGCGAATTACTCATGCTTTACCTTATTTACATGGCAGTTGGTTGACAAAATAATTTGTCTCTCCTTAACATCATGCACTAATCAGTTATTATGAATTTATGGTGTTCTTCTGCGTTAATTTTATTTTAATGTTTTGAGTTCTACATAAACATCGTTCCTAGATTTGTTATATCCTCTTGTTTGAAAATTTTCAATCATCTTTCTATTGATGCTGTTATGTGTTGGTTACTTTCCTGTTTTTCCCTTAATTATCTGACTGATTAAATACTTGCTATTTATGGAAATGTAGTTAGAACATGTAGAAACTCATCTAGCCTGTGACAATTTTCTCTTTCTGTCATGCAATATTATTTTGGGCTACTTGTGGCGATATTTACATCAACCATTGTGTCGAAACATGAAATTGAAAATTATTGGCAGGTATATAACATGTAAGACCTTTATCCTTAACATATGGTCTGATCTGATTTGGAGTGTCCTGATGCCTTCATAGATTTGTTATGACCCTGTGCTTCCTGGTATAGTCTCTGATAGTGACAATTAGCCGAAGCAATTATGGACAGTTGGAGACTGGTTATCTGCCATTTATTGCATCACATAAATATATTTTTCTCATGACTTCTCTTTGTCACTGTAATTCACCTTTCCTTTGTCCATTTCAGGTAGGGCCTGACATACTTGTTTGTGATGAAGCTCATATCATCAAGAACACCAAGGCTGAAATCACTCAAGCTTTAAAGCTAGTTAAATGCCAGAGAAGGATTGCTTTGACAGGGTCCCCTCTTCAGAATAATCTTATGGAATATTACTGTGTCAGTGTTCTAGCTTGTACTAATATTCTGTCTGGATGCCTTAGTATCTTTGAATTAATGGTATATATCTTGTGACAGATGGTTGATTTTGTGAGAGAAGGATTTCTTGGAAGCATTCATGAATTTCGCAATCGGTGGGTCTCTGCTGTTCTTGTTTGTTCTTTTTAAATGTTTTTTCATGGTTCTTGCTGACTTACATTGCCTATACAGGTTTCAGAATCCTATAGAGTATGGTCAACATGCAAATTCTACTGCTGAAGATGTGAGAATCATGAATCAGAGGTCACACATACTATATGAACAACTAAAAGGGTTTGTCCAAAGAATGGACATGAGTGTGGTGAAAAAGGACTTGCCTCCTAAGACTGTGTTTGTTGTAGCTGTGAAGGCTTCTTCACTGCAGAAAAAATTATACAAAAGGTTTCTTGATGTTCATGGATTAACTGGTAACAAGGCTTCTTCTGAAGGAATAAGGAAGAATTTTTTTGCTGCTTACCAAACCTTAGCCCAGGTACTCTATTACTTTTTCAACAAAATAAAACAGCCAACTATTGAGTAAAGGTGTTACTACTAAATGATTCCTCATTGTTGGACAAAGAAGAGGACTAAAAAATTTTCTCAGAGGAGGCAACATGGACAGCTAACATTTAAAATTTTAGAATTCAGCCACTTTTCCTGCTGAATAACTTTTTCTCCAATTAGCAATTTGCATTAGTATAAGAATTTTTATAAGTAGTGTACATAAGAGTGTTGTTAGTGTTCTTTGCTCCCGCTCCCCTTAAGAGAAAGATTAATTGCTGTCCTGAAATAATGTGCACGTGCTGAATGTTTTCAAAACGTGACCAACTTGAAGGTATTATATAACTGTGGAATATTTACTTGTGCTAGTGGGCTGGAATATTTATCTTTATGCTTGTTCTCTTAAATTCTCATAACTGCCTTAAAATTGATAGATATGCAATCATCCCTGCATTCTGCAAATGATGAAAGACAGAAGGTATGCAAAACGAGAAGACAATCCAGATGATAACTCTAGTGATGAAAATATGGATGCCAATTTGGTGATTGGAGGTACTTATCTGATACTTTAATTTTTTAAACATTGTCTCATGTATGGCGACCTTCCTTGTAACTCTCAACTGTCTAGCCATTTCTGCAAAGATGTGATCATAATATGTGTTGGTGATGCCCTCTCAACTTTGGATTTAAATAGCTGAATAGCAAACGTAGTTGTGTTGTGTATGGCACATGGTTGTTTATACTTCATAGTTCCTTGTTGGATTGTGAATTGTCTTAAAAAAGTTTTTTTATCCTTATCAAAGTGCACTCGTCAGTCGTCACCTGTTAGGCTGTTAATAGCAGAGATTTTCCCTTGACTAGCTTGCAGAAATATGTTATTCATTTCTCATTCAATGTTTCACAAAAGGTGAACAATTAATTTTATGGGGATTGTCTCCATCCAAATAAATTTAGCTGGTAGATGAGATTGCAGAAGAAGATATTTACACTTGCCCAGATTTATAGGACATTAGAAATGTTTATAGCAGACAATCTGGGAAGGGTCAGTGCAGTTGTCATGCGCCAAATTATAATTAGAGATGTTAGATTCTCATGGTTATTAGATGCATTTATTATTTATCAAAACTCTGGACTTTTAAATCTTACCAAGAAGCAAGTAAAGGTGTAAAGCATTGTCTTTGTTAGCAAGCTATGGCCAATATACTGCTCATAGATTTATGTATTGAAGCTGATTATATTAGATTCTAGCATTGTGGATGTGTTCCTTTAGCAAAGAACTGCAAGCTGAACGCACTGTTTCCTTTATGGGTGAAGCACTTTGGTTTATTTATTGGTTTTGCTATAAACAGCCAAAATTGCGACTTCTCCTTAATAGAAGCTCCATTATTGGCAATGTGTTATCTATATCCTCTCTTCATCACGTGCTTTGTCTTTCTATCTCTCTCTATTTCTCTTCTATTCCTTAGGGTCTGTTCACATTTACTGAACTGAGCTGAACTGAACTGAACTGATTGGAGCTGAACTGAATATTTTATGAGAGAGGGAAATTAGGAGCTGAACTAAACTGAACTGAACTGATTAGAGCTGAACTGAACTGAATTGAACTGAAATTAAGTAAATGTGAACAGGCCCTTAATATCTGTGACACCAAGTATGTATCGGTAATCAGTATATAGAGAACAGGGGAAGTAATTGTTTGTGAATTTATGACAAATTCTCACTTTTGATAAAATAAATAAATAAATAAATCACTGTTATTATAGAAAATTAATCATATTTATAATCTCTCTGTGATTAGACTCATCTGTTTACAATATGATTTATGGAGCCTGCTTCCATAAATATATATATACAGAGAGTAATTGGATTTGGTAAGCATGTCAAAGAATAATCAATTTACAACATTCTGCCAAATTAAGCACGGGCCACTTTTAAATTTATTGCTTCTCTGGAAACCCTATTGCATTACATGTAATCTCTGGCCAGTTATATTGTTGGACTTCATATTTTCATAACCATTCCTATGCTCGTTAGTAAAAATAAATATGCAGGCTGAATCATTTTATAATTCTTTTGACAGTTTGCTGACATTTTTTCCCTTTATCTGGTATACTTGAACTTCTTGACAGAAAAAGGAAAGACAAAAGCTGATAAAGGCTTCCTTCATGAGGTAAGTATTGCTCTTCTGAGTCACCTTTTTTCTTGTAACTTGTTTGGTTCTGTATGGTGATGGGAAGGGAATGGGAAAAGACAAAGGATTACATAAAGGAAAGGGTTGGTCTTTCTGTTTTTTGTTTTACTTAGTAGAGTCACAGAGGAATTTTTTGCTTGGCTAATTAACAAATGATGACGCTTTTTTTTGTGTCCAAATTCCACCAAGGTGTCTAGGAAGTAAAAATGTTGTTTTTTCTTTCCTCCAGAAAATAATACGAAGTGTAACTTAAGGTGAATAAACAATGGATTAATAAGCCAAAGAACACGTTCGTTTGAGAAAGAGGGGGGGGGGGGTCCACTTAATTTTATTTAGATATCTATTTTAAGTCTTTTTCTTTCTTTGCAGGGTTGGTGGAACAATATTCTTAATCAGTATAATTACCAAGAGATTGACTATAGTGGCAAAATGGTTTTGTTGCTGGATATTCTGACCATGTGCACCGAAATTGGTGATAAAGCATTAGTTTTTAGCCAGAGTATAGCAACTCTGGATCTGATCGAATCCTATTTATCAAAATTGCCCCGGCTGGGTAAGAAGGGGAAACATTGGAAACGAGGAAAGGACTGGTATAGGTGTGTATCTACTAAAAGAATTTTCCCTAATTTTGTATAGGTGATTTTATGTTACAATTCCAACTAATTATGTTTAAAAATGAGTTAATTGCTTATGGCTCAGCATTTCTTTGGAATAGTTCACTGTTGCACTTTATTTTCCATTCAGGAAATGTTCTGCTAAAATCTCAGACCCTTTGTTGTGGGTCGTGAGTGATGCTTTTGAAAGTGTTTGGCTGATGTTTTTATGTATAATTTATATCTATCTGACCTGTAAGATGGCCCTTACGGAATCATGCCAAACTTGTCCCTTCTGCCCAAAAGAGCATGCTTTCCAATGACTATCTTCTTTCGCCTCCTTTTTGTGTGGGTGTGCTTTTGCACTTGCTTTCATATGTTTCTTGTGTCTGTCTTAGTTGCCATGTTGAGTTAGCATTTCAGTGGTATTTCTGATGTCCTGTATGCGCCAGGATTGATGGGAAGACAGAAGGTTCTGAAAGACAGAAGCTTGTTGATGCATTTAACAATCCTCAGAATGGAAGAGTGAAATGTACTCTTATATCAACAAGAGCTGGAGCTTTGGGGATCAATCTTTTTGCTGCCAATCGCGTAATCATTATCGATGGTTCCTGGAATCCAACACATGATCTCCAGGCTATATACCGTGCATGGAGGTGATGTTATTTTTATTGCTGCTTCTGACTGATTAATTTCTCTGAAGACTCCTTATCTTATGCTCCGCTCTCCTCCAAACACTCGCAGATATGGCCAGAAAAAGCCTGTATATGCTTATCGGTTGGTGGCACATGGGACTTTGGAAGAAAAGATCTACAAACGCCAGGTATTACTTAAAGATTTTAGCTTCAAGAGATTTCTTGCCTCTCTTTTATGAGTTAAGTCTCCTAAAGAGTGCAAGTTTTGCAGGTGAAAAAGGAGGGTCTTGCTGCAAGGGTGGTTGATAGACAACAAGTCTTGAGGAGCATGTCTAAAGAAGAGATTTCAGATCTCTTTGACTTTGGTGATGATGAGAACCTTGATGTGCTACCTGATTTGGAAGTGAATAATGAGCGTATGAACTACAGAAAGGCTGAGGATTCGTTGAAACTGAATTCATCTGCATGTCCCAGCAGCTGCTCTTCTGATAAGCTAATGGAAAGGCTACTTGATCGGCATCGCCTAAGGTATTCCTCAACACAACTATTCTTCTAATATATAAGGGAAGTTAGTGTATTTTTTAAAAATAACTTTTGTGATTTATAATTATGATACTACATAGTCATGCGGGATCTTGTTTGAATTGTATCAAACTATCAACGCATATTACCATAATATCAAATTTTTATATTTTTCACTTATTGATAATTAATGATATTAATCTTTGAAATTTTGTGTTGGCAAACATAGTCAAAGAAACGTGTCAACTAAAAAGAGCGAAACTTAGTTCATAACCGCTTAAAGTCTACAGTCTACACTGTCTAGATCTGATTAGCTCTCTCCTTGTGCATCATGTATGGATTGAATTCATCTCCAGCCCTCTCCTATTTGTTAAGTCTATTGCATGCTAATTCGCTTTCTTTGTTCAGATGGATAATGAATTTCCATGAGCATGAGACGCTGCTGCAGGAAAATGAAGAGGAAAAGCTTACAAAAGAAGAACAAGATTTAGCGTGGGAAGTATTCAGAAGAAGTATGGAGTGGCGGGGAGTGCAAAGAGCTCCAGTTGACATCGAGTGGCAGGAAGTGAGTAGAGTTCCAGCTGACGTGTCAACATTTGAGCAAAATCAGAGCACCCTCAACACATCATGTAGTTCACAGAAGAAAACCTACGATTCCAACCCTTTGGCTAATATTCCTACAAAGTACAGTATGCAGGTACGGAAATGCACCAATATTTCCCATTTGTATACTCTGAGGTTCCAAGGAACAAAAGTGGGTTGCAGTACTGTTTGTGGGGAATGTGGCCAGCATATAAGTTGGGAAAACCTCAATAGGGATAGCAAGTGAAAAGGTTAGTGGTCAAGGATCTCGTTAGGGCGATAGCCCATTTTGCATATGCTTGATCCTTGTTAGTACTTTTAATTTTTTTTGTATAGTATCTTGCTAGCTATGCCCCTTTAGATGCCATGATGATTCTTTCCCTATACTACACTTTTGACATTGGTAGGCAGCCGTAGGCCTCTAACCCCTGATCCTGCTCCTGCTCCGAATTAGGATCAAATAGTTACAACTTACAATGTACAGCAAACAGCCAATTTTTGGGATCACAATATTCATGATATAAAATCATCATTTTGTTCAAGCTTGAAATTTGTGATTTGTTTTTTCGAATTTTAGTTCATTCTATGTCATGAGTGGGGTATGGTGATGAAAATTGTTATATACTACGGAGTACCTCCACTTTTTATTAGTTAACATGTTTTGACTTTAGCACTATTCACACCCCCCTTTGACCATGTTTTGTGATATAGCCAAGTGGGATCTTGTTAGATTCGTCACAATATATATATTCATAATATCAACTTTTTATAATTTTTGCTTATCGATAATTAAAGATATTAATAATTTAATTTGTGCATTGGCAAACGTGACTAAAGAAATGTGTCAACTAAAAAGAAACGTATTTGGTAAACAGCCATTTATAAGCATAAGATTAATATTATCATATTATGAGACGTTTCTTCTAGGAATTGTTATGCACACGAGTCAGTGCCAACTCTGTAAGCACTAGATTATTATCTAGAGTTCTATAATGCTTCATGCCTTAACATAATAATCGTCAAACATGTGAATTGTGATGCATCTAAGAACATATGTTTCGGGGCAATTGTGCATGTAGGCAATAGGCCTGTAAGGTGCACTTTTTTCATTGTTCTACCTCTTTCTACTTATTACACAAGGTTTTATTTATTTATTTATTGATTTATTTATTTATAATACGCCGTATCTTTATGTTGTGGTTATATGAGAACAAATACGTAAATTTTATAATACGCAATATGTTGTGTTTATATGAGAACAAATATGTTTGAATTTAGTGATTGAGTATTCTTGTACGAGTTAAATCTGTTTGATTAACCTTACTACTATTAATTTAATAAGTTTAGATTAGATAACAAGTTCAGATAATTTAGAACGAAACACATCCTAATTGATCGAAAGTTCGATTAGTCCCCTCAAGGCCTCAAATCTTCTTAGATATGCCCACTTCCAGCAGCACTGTAAGAGTACATATTCTGCTAGTATTTCTATAATCAAACTCACTCATTATATATCCAATCAATTAAGGGTGCATCAGAATAACATAAAATACATGCCCACGTATCTAGAATAAATATATTCGTTCCCTCTTTTTTCTTATCTTCTTTACTCATTTTCAAAACCTTGCAATTCACTCTTTTCATAAGTCTAAAAGCTTGATAAACAAGCTGATGTGCATATTTATCATGCATGTCAAAATCTTAATAATTTAATATTTGCATTACTATACACTTCACCACTACTTAAGGAAGGCTTCAGCCATTTCTCCTCAACACATAACACATTACACATCCTTCTTCAAAAAACACAAGTAATCTTCTCCATTATTCTTCTATTCGTCTTATAACGAAAGCAGTAATGATGGAAAACGGAGGAATCCCAACTCTGCCACCAAGGCGAGGTCAGGTTAAGACCAAGATCATCGGTAAAATTGCTGAAATGGTTAAACCCGAACCCCCTGCACCTTCTATTAGCTACTGTCCTAGGAATGTGCACAACTCCGGGGCGAACTCTGGTCATGGCATCAGGACTCACTAAGATTAGAGTGATGTACAATACATAGTTTTTCGGGCAGTGGTTTCTTCACCTAGTTTTCTGATGTTATGCTTATAATATGAAGTGATGTGTTTTTGTTTGGTTTTTAACTTTCTTAATTTTCAGTGTTTTCTTCTTTCCCTTGTTTGGTTTTGTAATTGTAGTCCTTGTGTTAATGGTGAAGGGTGGTTCTTAAGTAGTTAAGTCTACTAGTTGTATAGACTGAAGTATTCAGTGGGCCCACTCTGCCCTGTGGTTCTGTTATTATGATATAAATATAGTACAGTTTAATTTTGCTTATATATACCCTTTTTTTTTTTTGACAGAGAATAATTTTAATACTTAAACCTGTGTTTAATCTGAAAAAAAATACATATAGATGATATAGTATGTTGTATATTATTGCTATAATAAATGATCAAATGGCAGGCCTAATTTTTACTTGTAAAATTATGGTTAAGGTGTTAACAAGCTGAGCTTTGCACAAGAATTACTTGAGGCTAAGGTAGGTCAAAACTCAGATCGAACAAGCTTAACTTGAGATCTAATCTAGACTAGTTCTTAACATAATTTTATTCCCCCTAATTATAAATAAATAACTCAGTAAAAAAAAATGTATTCTCAAATTGTGGTTTGGGATTAAAATAAATTGAGCAAATTTTAGTGCAAGCAAGGTCAACAGGACAACACCCCTTGTTATTGGGAACCTTAAGATATTATGAAGGATTGATTGTTCAATACTTTTTCCCGTTTCTAAAAGTTCTTTATATTTTGACTTTTTATAAGATAATCACCTTCCAAACAAGAATAACTTTAGAGATAGGGGGAATATATTTGTAAAATGTTTTATCTTGGGTGTAAATAAGTCAAACAGATTCATATTAATTCGGGAAGTTAGCCCCATGACTTAGGGGTTTCTTTAAGTAAATCATACTTCTAGGTGTGGAACAATTGTGTCTATATTTTCTTCAAAGAAAAGATTGCATATGATTGTTTGTTAAAGAATTTGTATGCCAATGGAAGTAGGGGTCCATAATTGTGGAATACTACTGTTGTTCACAATTTTATATATAGAGTAATGGAATTATCAACAAGTTTACTATACATGGTGACATTCTGACATATTGTCTAATTTAGGGTAATTTTTATTAACAAAGTATTAGCTCACTTGGTAAAGTTCTTGCCTTAGATCCTTAAGGTTTGCGTGAGGAAAGAAGTCTAGTCATGGTCTTCCTTATCTATTAAAAAAAAAATTCCTAACATAGAACTTATTCTGTGAGAACCTCTTTTACTTTTTACATACAATTAAATTGCAACAAATTAAAATTTAATCAACTATTCTAGAGTTCTAAACACTATTCTGTAAAACATTGAAGCAGGAATACTATACTTCGTATATCACATGTACATTGAGAAATTCTGAATCAATAAACTATACTGGATCAACAATTGAATGAACTGAAAAACGAAAATGTGGGCAAGTTATAATACAACATTCAATTACACGAATTTTCGGGTAATTCCACACAATTAACCATTTCACAGTTTATGTAAAGAGTTTAGCCTCTGCAACACCCATGGCCCTTCTTGGAAGCTACTTTAGAAAGGATATCAGGGTGACCGAGAGACAAATATGTACACACTCAACTAACTCAATTTTCGTCACACCACTCAAACTGATGTAAATATTCAGGGGCGGAGATAAATCCATCTAACTGGTATTGAAGGAAAATGATTGCTTTTCCAGTTTCCATGAATTGAAGTGCCTTAGCCTTCTTTGAAGGTGATCACCATCTTTCATCGCCGAACCAGTTATCCTTCTCTTTGGGTCCTGTTGGCCCTTCCTCGCCATATAGCTCAGTTGGGAATATATCCAGCAAGTTTTCCATTGAGAATCGTACAAATATGGGAAGATGGTTCATTAGTTTGTCTATCTCAGAACGTGCATCATACATCAATGTTGGCCCCCACTCTCTCATGTACTGAAGCCAACACGGTTCTTCAACGGTGTCTCCAAGATACTCGGCAGCAACAATCTTGTATTTGGTACTCGAGTCCACATAATATTTGCTTTTAGCAACATCATTTCTCACCCCTATCCCAAGCTTAGAAGGCCCTAAGAGATAAGTTCCGGAATGTGCATAACTAGCATGACCACATTTGGATGAATAAACAATCGCCTTGTTTCCATTTATGTACTCCAAATTAGTAGCATCAACCCACTTACCGCCGCTGTGTTCTGAGAAGTATATGCTCCATAGCTCCCCTGTGAAATTGCTCACACGAAGAGTATAATGCTCCCAATCACCTACGTGCTCTCCTACTCTAGCCAGTGGGATATTGGCCAATCCAACTTTAAGGGTTGCAGGCCCGTTGAAGGGGCAAAAGACCCACATTACAATGTCAGTGAATGTACCACCAAAAGCTGGTTTCACATGAACATACAATTCTGCACTCTCTAAGTTCCCACGCTTGACATAATCCCGTTTCACTTCATCCTTTGGCAAATCTATCCAAAATTCTCCATCATTACAGCCATCCTTAGGCAATTGTGTACCTTTTGAATCAATTCTCTCGCCATCACTTTTACCACTCTTGTACAAGAGTGCCCCATTGTCGAAAAACCACTGCACTGATGAGGGCATATAGATCTCATCAGGGTGGAAATACACTGTGGGTCCATAGTGCTTGATAAGGGCATGGATTTGCTCCAAATTAGGCATTGCGTGTAGGGTAGGATCCCGGTTCTTCAGACATGCCGTGGTTACCATATCTTCATTGATTATCCCATACGTACTGCTGAAGAATGTACCTACACAGACACCTCTTCCATACAAACCCCTTTTGCAAGGTCTCGTCTCCCAAATTGTAAAATCGTCATCAAGTATCATTTCACAAGCTTCACAATTTTCTGTCAAATCTAGTCGAACACAACGAATGCTGTCAACCGAAGGCTCAACTGGTGTATCTGTAACCAGAAGACCCAGCGCTCTATAGCCTGTGGGAGCATTAGGCAACCAAATAAAACCATGCTCTGAGCTCCAAACCAACGAATAGTTAAGTGGTCTTTGTAGAGCAGGAAGATCTGATGATTCTTTAATCTCCCTAGCAACCAGGACAAAACCCCACAAAGGATGGTCATTTGATTGGCAATAGTGACCGAGAGAAAAAAATCCATCCGGAATTCCCACAGGCCTATAAAATGTTACACCTTTTGCATTTTTATTTCTACGAGATGGGTAGCAACTCCATACACTTTCAAACTTGGTGATCTTGGCAACCTCCAACTCCCCGAGGCGTATCCTTCCCGTGGCAAAACCTTCACCTAAGACCAATATGTCATCAAGATCATTAGCATCCCAAAAACAATATATGACCAAATCGTGAATCCAGCAAAAAATTGCCATTACAAAATCATGAAACCAGCCAAAAAATGGCGTTTTGTGGGATAAGTTATCAAGTCAGCATCACTTCACACCAAATCTTTTTCTTCTTAACTTGAGGGAAAGGTTAGA